CCAGGCTGGCCTCGAACTCACAGAGATCCGCCTGGCTCTGCCTCCCAAGTGCTGGGATTAAAGGCGTGCGCCACCACCGCCCGGCTATGTGCATTGGTGTTTTGCCTGCATATATGTCTGTGTGAGGGTGTTAGATCTTGGAGTTATAGACACTTGTGAGCTGCCATGTGGATGCTAGGAATTGAACCCAAGTCCTCTGGAAAAGCAGTGCCCTTAACCACTGAGCCAGCTTTCCAGCCCCCAGCATTTCCTTTCTTCCTGTATATTAGTTATTTTTCTGGTCATTGGACCAGTACCTCATCAAAGTAACTTAAAAGAGGATGGGCTTATTTTGGCTCATAGTTTAGAAGGTAATTCTGCCCATGGTGTCAGGGAAGGCATGATGGCAGGATCAGTTCCTGTTTATGGCAGAGGGAATGTGAGGTGCTTGCTCATATTTTGGTAGACGAGGAAGTGGGGGGAGAGAGAGAGATGTAGCCAGAAGTAGGACTGAGTTCTAACTGCTAAAACCTGCCTCTCATAACCCACTTCCTTCCTGGGTCCTACCTATTAGATAGAGTACATGTCTACCTCAAGAGACCACCAGCTGGGGGCCAAGTGTTCAACCGCGTCCTCAACCGTAACGTCCTCCTATCTGAAAGTTTTACTTGCCTTTTCCTCGAGACATCTACTTTTCAAACAGTCTTAATGAGCCCCGGCTGACCTGGAAATTGCTGTTGGCCAGGGTGGCCTTGAACTTGTAGTTCTCCTGTCTGCTTCCTTTGTGCTTAGATTATAAGCGTGCAGTGTCTGCTCTTGAAAAATATATTGAGTGCTGTAGCTCAGAGGTAGAGCATTTGCCTAACATGTCTAAGGTCCTGTATCTCAAAAAAAGGAGGAAAAGATTCCTCATCAGGCATGGTGACACATGCCTGTAATCATAACACATGAATCACCACACCCAGCTTTCCATTTTAGGTTTTAGTGTGGTTTCTAAATCTCCTAAACTACAAAGTTTCTTATGTGTGAAATGAAAGAATCATTAGAATCACTGATGTAGTCCTTGGAGAAGGGTCTTGCTTGAATATGAAATAGTTACCTGGTATTACTAAATATTAAAATGAAAATAACTAATATGACAATTTTACATGTGAAAATACACATGATGTTAGTCCAGATATCATTTTTTTTTTTTTTCCATTTTTGGAAAATGAGGTTGCTTAAATGAGTGGATATTTAAAAGCATGGTTTCGGGCTGGGGATGTGGTTCAGTGGTAAAACACTTACCTAGCACACACAAGCCCCTCTGTTCTATTCCTAGCACTTTAAAAAAGTAAAACAAATCCACCTTTTATGGGCTAGAGAAACTGCTCAGCAGTTAAGAGCACTGGTTGCTCTTGTAGAGGACCCAGGTTCAATTCCCAGCACCTCACAGCTGTCTGTAACTCCATTTCCAGGGGAGCTGATACCCGCATACAAACGTACTTGTAGGCAAGATACCAATGCACATGAAATAAAAATACATAAATCTTAAAAGCCTGGCTTCGAATCAGAGCTGCTTTTGTTGTTTGTTTTATTTTTGTTTGTTCGAGACAGGGTTTCTCTGTGTAGCCCTTGGCTGTCGTGGAGCTCACTCTGTAGACCAGGCTGGCCTCCAACTCAGAGGTCCACCTGTCTCTGCTGCTGGAATGCTGGGATTAAAGGTGTGCACCACCATTGCCAGGCTGAATCGAAGCTTTTATTGTGTTCATTTTCTTTCATTTCTCCTTTAAAAATTCCTTAGCATTTGTTGAGTGGATGTGTCCATTTCCAGAGACTTCCTGGGTGAGCACTGTGTGCTGGAGCTTCCTTCAGGCATCAAGCTCCAGCGTCAATCACTCAGTTTAGCTCCCTGCTTGAGCACCTTACCTTCTGGAGACACTTGGGCCCTAAGGAAGCAATTACCCCGAAACTAAATATGAACTCTGTTCTAAATAGTTTTAAGTCAGCTTGACATAAGCTAGTCAGCTGAGAGGAGGGAACCTCAATTAAGAAAATGCCTCTATAGCCGGGCGGTGGTGGCGCACGCCTTTAATCCCAGCACTCGGGAGGCAGAGGCAGGCGGATCTCTGTGAGTTCGAGGCCAGCCTGGGCTA